AACTTATGACCCAGGCACCAAAATTAAGCCTGAAATTACAGTCATAAGTCATGGTGTTGGTTAAGCGGGTCATCATTAACGGGGCCTGATTTTATGACCTTTTTTGTGGTGGTTATTAAACAAATGCGGTGGTTATTAAACAAACCCATTTTATCCAGTGGATGTTTTTTTGCTGGAAACTTAGTTCAAAGTTATAACAGCACTGAAAAAAAAGTGACTTTTGACTGTTTTTCACAGTTACCACCTCGGCAGCATCCCCGCAGTCAAGTGATCAAAATTCGGACCGTTTGGCAACTGGTTCATATTTACGATGGTTGTAGTGTCCCGGGGGGTGTCACGTGATCCCCTTTTTGCAACCTTCTGACAAGCCAAGTCCATAGGGAAGCCAGATTCACTTAACAACCAGGTTACTCACTTAACAACTGCAGTGATTTCACTTAACAACCGGGGCAAGAAAGATCGTTAAAATGAGGCAAAACTCGCTTAAGAAATGTCTCACTTAACAACGGAAATTTTGGGCTCCATTGTAGTTGTAAGTCGAGGACTACCTATAAATGGTGGAAATCAGCAAAAAACGATGATCATCGCAGTCCTGCGACTGTGGGATATAAATGTGAGCCAGTTGCTAGGCACCCAAAACCTGATCATAGAGGAGGTTGTGGCTGCCAGAAATCTGGAACCAGGCCATAAGTACCTTTTTTTGCAAGGGGGATCTGTCATAAATTCAAATGGTCCATAAACAAGGACTAGCTGTACTTGAGATCTTCCAAGCGTATCTTCAGATAAGTCCAATCAGCCCTCGTAATTCCAACAGAGCAGGGCGAAGCTCTGTTTCAGAACAGAGTATTAAAGCAGATCTTCAATATTATTGCTCTTCTTCTTGTGCCATATCAGCTATCGGACGTTGGCGATCATGTTGGCGATCCTGTTTTTTTTTTTTTGAGTATTAAAATTAATTTTTATTTGGCCAATGAGTTCCATTCCTTGAGCATCATGGATGCTTAAAACGAATTCCATTGAAACACATCATCCTCTTTGTAATACAGACTTTCCATGGCTCTCAAGTATCCCCACAAAACTACTAGTTATCAAGTGTCCTTTTTGTTGCATTCAGAGAAGTTATTTTCCAACAGTCCCCAGAAAACCCATTTGCAAAATAATGTGTATCAGCATCCGCATGAAAAAATGCTGCTGAGTTTTGTCCAAACCAGTCCCTTAGATTTTGAAGCCACGATGTTCTTCTTCTTCTGCTTCTAGCAGACCGGGAGAGTCTTAGCATCATTTAAGGGGCATCCATACTCGGGATCATTGTTAGGTTTTGCTGCCATTAACATGATATTTCTGGGAAATATATAGTGTAGTAGTCTTCCCTTTGCTTTCTACAACGGTGGGCACAGGCTGTTCACGGGCTGCCACCACACCGTGTGCTGCTCTTCTGAATCCGTTCCAACCAATATGGTCTCCGCCTTCAGTCGATACTGGGGAGCCAGCTGCCCTCACCAGGCCTGTTGGTCCACGGGAGGTATTTGATTCCCTCCAACCTGCCATTACAGCATAAAAGCCGTAATGGGTAGGCCCCCCAATCTGCCACCCAGGGACGTGCTCTGTGGGGGTTCCAGGCTCCTCCTAAATTACTTTAATTAAATTACTTCATTCTTTTTTTTTTAATGCAAGGAGAGCACTTAAGAAAGAATCTGTTCTTCTATCCTGAAGTTAAGAGCTATTGGTTTCGGTAGTCCTCTACTTGCGACCACAACTGAGCTCCAAATTTCTGTGCTAAGTGAGATGTTTGTTAAATGAATTGTTCCCCCGTTTTATGACCTTTCTTGCCATAGATATTAAGTGAATCACTGCAGTTCTTAAGTTGTTGCACTTGTTAAACGAATCTGGCTTTCCCACTGACTTTGCTAGTCGGAAGGGTACAAAAGATGTTCACGTGACCCCGGGACACTGTGACCGTCATAACTATGAGCCAGTTGCCAAGCAGCTGAATTTTGACCACACGACCATGGGGATCACAGTTGTAAATGTGAAAAACAGTCATAAGTCACTTTTTTCACTGCTGTCGTAACTTCAAATGGTTCACTAAATGAACTGTTGTAAGTCAAGGACTTACAACCTGTAGTAAGGACCTATATTAAAAAGTGTGCTGCACAAACCAGAGAACTCTGCTTCTTTTAACAGTGCAATTTATGGATGTAACCAGTAACACTTCATTCTCTCAGACGTGTAAACCGGGCTTTCATTCGCTGGAGGGAAACATTTAAAATATTTTCAGACAATGAGGAGGAAAAGTTGATTTTCTTGCTGTCACTCGGCCAGTTCTTATCTCTGGGTTGAAAATATTTTAACTCGAATACCCTTCTCCACCCCTCGTTTTTCTGTTTCCAATACCAGCGCAACCACATTCCATTTTCAAACTGGAGAAATAAATGTAATGAGTCTCTCCTAAAACAAACACACATCAGCTTAACTTCCTTATTCTAAGGCAGAGCTCCAGATGCATGTCTTATAAATACACACTTCCTTTTGGCCAAATGATCTTTCTGCATGGGAGAACATCAAAGGCAAGAAATTAAAAGTCTCGGTGGAACTGGTGTCATGTGTGAAATACGAAATGTCAGGTCTGGGGAAGGAAGCCCAACCTAGATATAATTCACTTAACGGAAGAATTCGGTTTTCAAAATAAGAAGGCAAAATGTTTTAAATTCTGGGTAGAATCTGGAAGGCTTCCTTTAAACCAGTTGCTCTGCAATGATTATTTTAGGGGTTTAATATTTTAGTGATTACTATTTATATGTTAATGTAAGTGATTATATTTAGTGATTAATATTTATCTGTTACTTATATGTAAGGGTGTGGGTCTATACATATGTTGTATATAGTATGTTTAAATGTGTGTTATGTGTCATGGTTCCGATAGATGAAACTCTTCAAAAGAACTTCGAGGCATTATTTATCTTAAAGAATCTTTATTTTGAGTAGCATAGTATCGGCACGTACATAGGCAAAGCCAAAATCTGAATTCCCCTCCCCTGAGCACATAGTATCAAAGCACAATTCTCTCCTCCAATTAACAGTCATAAATCACATTCCCCAATTAGCTTGAAGGGCGGACTTCCTCTTGTGATTCATTTTAGCCTTGGGACCAAGCGGGTGGGTGAGGCAGGTGAGTATCTTATTCCTTGTTTATGCACTTGAATTTGCATTAGATTGGAGAAAGATTTTCAAATGCCTGTAACACTGATCACAAATCAACATAGCAGCTGGTCCTTTTTGCGTGTCACATGCACTATGTTAGATAGAGGTAAATAGAATGGAATGGGATGGGATGGGATGGGATGGAATGGAATGGGATAGGATGGGATCGGATACAATAGAACGGAATGGAATAGAATGGAATAGGATGGGATAGAATAGAATAGAATAGAATAGAATAAAATAGAATAGAATAGAATAGAATAGGTCTAGCCCACTGCTTTATGCTATTATTAGAGAGTCACAGAAATTACATGAATGCTGGGAGATCCACGGTACTCTCTGAACTTGGTTGTTTTCTTGTAGATGTTTCATTACCCAACTAAGTAACATCATCAGTGCTGCAAGGGAGTGGGGTTTGCCCTGTCACTGTTAGTCGGAGAGGTTTTGGAAGTTCTTTGGTGGGCTATTTACAGTTAGCTTGTTGGGCAGTTCTTTGATTGGGCTATTGTTTACTTCTCTGATGCTAATCTATGCTCATCTGGATGTTGATGGCTGGCGGGGAGGTGTTTTGGTCTTTTTGTCTCCTTTTTGGCTGGTTGATTCTCTTTTGCACAGAATGCAGATATTGTTTATATCTGTGTCTGTTGATGGCTAATTTGCCAGAGTGCTAGGCTTCTAAGAAATTCAAATAAAAGAGAATATTTGTAGCTCAGGGTTGAGATGAGGGGTCTTGGTGCTCTCCGAGCTTGGTTGTTTTCTTGCAGACGTTTGATTACCCAAACTAGGTAATACCATCAGCGCTGGTCTAGAAATGTTCTAGCGGGTTTTTTGGGGATTTGGCGTGGTTATTTCAAACCTGAGCTACAAATATTCTCCTTTATTGGTTACATCAATGAGATTACGGGTACCAGTAGTCTTTGACTTTGCTTAGGGACCGTTCGCAGTTACAACAGTACGGAAAAAAAGTGACTTACAATCATTTTTCACATTCATTGGACAGTTGCAGTATCCCCATGTATGAAATTTACATTCGGATGCTTGACAACTGATTCACATTTATGACGGCTGCAGTGTCCCGGGGGGTCACGTGATCCCCTTTTGCGACCTTCTGATAAGCAAAGTCAATGGGGAAGCCAGATTAGTAACAACCGTGTTACTAATTTAACGACTGTAGTGCTGCACTTAACAAACGTGGCACGAAAAAGTCGTAAAATGGAGCAAAAAAACTCAACAAATGTCTCACTTAGCAACCTCACTTTTGGGCTCAATCGTGGTCATAAGTTGAGAGGCTTAGACTAGAAGACCTCCAAGGTCCCTTCCAGTTCTGTTATTCTATTCTATTCTGTTCTGTTCTAATTCTATTCTATTCTATTCATATTCTGTTTTATTTCTATTCTATTCTGTTCTAATTCTATTCTACTTTCTATTCTATTCTGTTCTAATTCTATTCTATTCATATTCTGTTATATTTATATTCTATTTCTATTCTGTTCTGTTCTAATTCTATTCTATTCATATTCTGTTCTATTTATATTCTATTTAAATTCTGCTCTGTTCTAATTCTATTCTACTTTTTATTCTATTCTATTCTGTTCTATTTCTACTCAGTTCTGTTCTAATTCTATTCTATTCATATTCTGTTCTATTTATATTCTATTTCTACTCTGTTCTGTTCCAATTCTATTCTGTATTCTATCCTATGTATTCTGTTCTGTTCCGTTCCGTCCCATTCCATATTCCATTTTATTGACTACCTGTTCCGTATTTTCATTCTAAAACACGAACGACATACCACTAACCTCTTAAGGTCGCTGGAGGACCACTAGCAGCTCGCAGCGAAAACGAAAGAGAAGGCAGGGGAGAGGCAGAAGGAAGGGACAGAGGCGAGAAAGAGGCGCGCCGGCAGCTAGCGAGCGAGCGAGCGGGCTAGTCTCAGCTCAGAGTGCCAGGAGGGGCGCGGCGGGGCGCGGCGGGGGCACGCCCATTTCCCGCTGCTGCTCTCCCATTGGTGGAAGAGCGGAGAGGCGGGGCTGCCGAGCCGGGAGCACCCCCCACCCGCCGGGCGAGCCGAGGCTCGGCTCTCCTGCTTTTCGGAAAGACCCAACTCGAGCGAAGTTTCCCAATCCGAGGAGCCGCACGGGAACTCGCGAGGGCCGGCGCAGGTAGGCGGCTGCGGCTGCTAAACCTGTCGGAGGCGCTTTCCAGGTGTGTTTCCGCGGGCGTGGCCGGGCGATGGAGGAGGGGGCGGCGAGGGGCCCCTGCCCGGGGGAAGAGAAGCCGCTTCCCCACGTGCAAACTCGTCTCTCCTGCCTCTTTGCCTTGGTTCTAAGGGGGCGATCGGATCTCCGCGCCCTGGGCGGCTTTTCCGACAACCCCGGGGTGGTGGTGGAAACTTGCTCTCTCCCCCCCCCCCTCAACTGCCTTCTCCAAACTGGCCCTCGGCCGGACGACGGTTCCTTTCCTCCCTGGTCGAGCTGGCTCAGAGTGATGGGCGTTGGAGTAGGAGATGGAATTGCTCCGGCTTGGGCAAAGAGGTTTTACAGTACGCGGAGCGGTTCTTGTCGCGGCTGGTGTTGGACGGGACGGTAAACCATGGTTTGCCCGAACTTGTCTTTATTGAATTGTCCCCCCCCCCCCCGTGAGCCGGGTTCACACGACGCAGGGAATCCAGGCAGGACGCGCCCTGGGCCGGGACTTGTGGAAGAGTCCGGTTCTTAAGCTGGATGCGGTGCGCAATTTTCTATCGGGTGTATCTTGGGCTGTCCGTTTTTCAACGGCACAAGCTGGCTGTTTTTTAAAAGCTACTTGCAGGTTCTTCAAAACGGGTTTTCTGAAGGGTTGCTGGTATTTATGATGGCTTTGTTGGCTTTGTATTTCACTTTTGCTCTGGAATATGCAGCAGCGGGATGCGATTTATAACAAGCCCTTCCTATTTGGGGGGGGGTCTTTATCTCAGTCAACCGTAAGTGAGTGATCCAACCGAAGTCACAAATCAGGTGGGCACGATCCTTTAAACACCTTTCCTGTTCCTGTTAGTCCTCGACCTATGCCCACAATTGAGCCCAACATTTCTGTCACTAAGTGAGACAGTTAAGAGCCTTTTGCCCCATTTCTTGAGTCAATCACTGCAGTTTTTAAGTTAGTGTCCACGGTTGTTGAGTGAATTTGGCTTCCCCGTTGACTTTGCTTGTCAGGTCCCAAAAGGGGATCACATGACCCCCCCAGACGCTGCAACCATCGTAAATATGAGTTCCCGTGACCATGGGGATGCTGCAACGGGCGTAAGTGTGAAAAATGGTCATAAGTCACTTTTTTCCATAGTTTTTTCAAATGGTCATTAAAGGAGTGTTTGTAAGTCAAGGACTATACATACACCACCCTGCACTAACAGGAATTATATTATTAATCTATTAATTGCTGATGTGTAGTTTTTTTTTTTTCTCATGACATGTTTCTGTCCTGGTTTTCCCAAAACAAATAATACACAAGATGACTTGGAAAACAAGCTGGGAAAGTGAACAAACCTCCCAGAAGGCAGAGCTTGGGCATCTGCCTGGAGACATAGCCAGCAAGAGAATAAAGTACATTTTGTTCCTTTTTCCTGCCTGAGCAGGAGGTTGGACTAGAAGACCTCCAAGGTTCCTTCCAGCTCTGTTATTCTGTTATATCATGTTAGGATAGTTGGCTAACTCAGTTTTCATCCACTATGTAAATAGTAGTAGTAGTAGTAGTAGTAGTAGTAGTAGTAGCAGTAGTAATAATAATAGTTGGAAGGGACCTTGGAGGTCATCAAGTCCAACCCCTGCTCAGGCAGGAAACCCTATACCATTTCAGACAAATGGCTGTCCAGTCTTTTCTTAAAAAATTTCAGTGTTGGAGCATTCACAGCTTCTGGAGACAGGTCGTCCCACCGGTTAATTGTTGTAACTGTCAGGAAGTTTCTCCTTAGTTCTAGATTGTTTCTCTCTTTGGTTACTTTCCACCCGTTGCTTCTTGTCCTGCCTTCAGGCGCTTTGGAGAATAGCTTGACTCCCTCTTCTTTGTGGCAGCCCCTGGGGTATTGGAACACTATAAATACAGGTAATCCTCTAATTATGATCACAGTTGAGCTCAAAATTTCTGTTGCTAAGCAAGACAGTTCTTAAGTGGTTTTGCCCCATTTTATGATTTTTTTTTTTGCTACAGTTGCTAAGTGAAACACTGCAGTTGTTAGGTAAATGACATGGTTGTAAAGTGAATCTGCTCCCCCATTTAATTTATTTAGCGCAAGCCTTCCCCATTGAGTTTGCTTTTCAGAAAGTCACAACGGGATCACGTGACCCTGGGACACTGCAACCGTCATAAATATGAGCCGGTTGCCAAGCACCCCAGTTTTGATCAGGTGACCATTGATGCTGCAATGGTCATAAATGTGAAAAACTGTCGTAAGATTTCACTGCTGTTGTAACTTTGGTTACTCAGTGCATGTTTGCAAGTTGAGAATTGCCTTGTATGCGGTTCAGAGACTAATATGTCTTCATTTTTTATTAGCATTGTCAAAGATGTAATCAGATAAGGAACAAAACAGCCACAAGAATATCCACATACTAAACAGCATTTCTTTCCCCTTTAGACTAGATATTGGAAATGCAAGGTTTGGGCAGATCTAACCCTGAAAAAAGTGACTAGAAGTTTTGTGTTCATGTTTAAAATACAAAGCAGCTCATTTTGGATGTGATTGTGGTAAACCTTCCAGCAAACCCACCAATCAATATACCTAAATATCAATATACGTAAATATTGGGAACAGGCTTCAGTGATGTCACTTGCATCATAATGCTGGGCTTGTGATAGCTTTTGTCACGCAGATGATGCCAACATGATGACGATGTCACAACCTCTCAGAATTCCAGGGCTATCTGGGCTTAAAAGTATACATTCTGGACTGCTTTCAAGAGTTGCTGATCTAAAACTGATGAAGTCTTTTATAGACTAGCCTATGGAATAGAATAATAGGCTGCAAAGGGATCTAGGAGGTCTTCTAGTCCAACCCCTGTCACAGGTAAGAGATTCTATACCAGGGATAAGCAACCTTGGTTCTTTTATGACTCGTGGACTTCAACTCCCAGAATTCCTGAGCCAGCATGGCTCAGCTTGGAAACCTCTCCCTTTCCCCTCAGCATGGCTGGCTCAGGAATTCTGGGAGTTGAAGTCCACGAGTTATAAAAGAGCCAAGGTGGCCTACCTCTGGACTAGGCCTAGGCCGCTTTCTGACTCGTGGACTTCCTCCCAGAATTCCTGAGCCAGCATGGGGGAACTAGGGCCCCTTCATGACTTGTGGACTTCAACTCCCAGAATTCCTGAGCCAGCATGGGGGAACTAGGGCCCCTTCATGACTTGTGGACTTCAACTCCCAGAATTCTTGAGCCAGTATGGCTCAGCTTGGAAACCTCTCCCTTTCCCCTCAGCATGGCTGGCTCAGGAATTCTGGGAGTTGAAGTCCATGAGTCATAAAAGAGCCAAGGTTGCCTACCCCTGCTCTATACCATTCTGAATAAATGGCCGTCCAATATTGTGTTAAAAGCTTCCAGTGATATAGTACCCACAACTTCCTGAAGCAAGCTGTTTTACTGAGAAATGATTGATCTCTTTCATGATCCATCTGTTACTTCTTGTCCTGCCCTCAGGTGCTTTGAAAAATAAGCCAATCCCCTCTTCTCTGTGACAGCCGCTTAAATACCATGTCATCCATCTCTTCATTAAACTAGACCTAGGTCCCTCACTTGTTGGGCCTGGGGGCTAAAACATACGGAAAATGGTTACGGGACTTGGGTTTGGCTAGTCTAAAGAAAAGAAGAAACAGGGGAGACATGATAGTAATGTTCCAGTATCTGAGGGGCTGCCACAAGGCAGAGGGGGCCAGGTTGTTCACCAGAGCACCAGAGGACAGGACAAGAAACAATGGTTGGAAACTGGTCAAGGAGAGAAGCAACCTGGAATTAAGGAGAAACTTACTGACAGTGAGGACTATCAGCCAGTGGAACAGCTTGCCTCCAGAAATTGTGGAGGCTCCATCACTGGAGATTTTTAAGAAGAGATAGACAATCACCTGTCTGAGATGGTGTATGTTCTCCTGCTTGAGCAGGGGGCTGGACTAGAAGAACTCCAAGGTCCCTTCCAGCTCTATTCTATTTAGTTCTCCATATAGATCAGTGCCTCTCAGACTTTACAGGTAGACCTTGACTTACAACGTACATTTAGTGATTGTGTGAACTTAACGACACTGAAAAAAGTGACTGACAACCAGTCCTCACACTTAATGATTATCGCAGAATCCTCATTCAGACACTTGGCAACCAGCATGTATTTCTGACAGCTGCAGTGTCCCAGGATCATATGATCTCCATTCGTAATTTTCCAAACTGTCTTCCGACAAGCAAAGGCAATGGAAGAAGTTAGATTTGCTAAATAAACAGATGATTTACTTAACAACTATGGTGAAAAAAGGTAAAATTGGGCATGGCTCACTTACAGTAGTGGCCAAAATTGTGGGAACCTTTTGGGAAAAGTATATTTTTGAGGTTTGATGGCTAATAACGTCCCTTTTTTTGGAGTAGTACCATAAAATTATATATCAATGGAAAACTAATTTAATCAAGAATGTAATGCAACAAAGGTTGTTCAATTATCTGTACTGTATTCTATGAAAAGTTATAGCCAAATAACCAGAAAAAGGAAGCACAACTTGTTTAGGTTGATATCAGGTAGCTTTCCTTCATCTGATTGTAGCCAATGAACATGAGTGTTTAGAGAGCCAATCAGGTGTCATCTTGTTTTGGCAATGAGCCAATCAGATCACAGTAGGATTCAGTTATTGATGTCATGTACTGAAGCTGAGAGGAGGACATTTTCAGTGTGTTATGTGATTACTATCAAGTTGGTTGGTTTTTTTGGTGTTCTTTCATTTAGTGAGCTTGTAAAACATAATAAAATTAAAGTCATGGTGCAAAGAGTTGACTGGTTGCCCAGAAAGCGATGTAAAATAGTATTGTTAAGTGAACAAGGCTACAGTTATAAAGAAATTAGAAGAAAAATTGATGGAAACTTAACCAAAGGTGGCATTTCTACTGTACACTTTCCCCAAAAGGTTTCCACAATTTTGGCCACTATTATAACCACCTTGCTTAGCAATTCTAGTCCCAATTGTGGTTCTAAGTGAGAGATCT